TAAGGGAACAGTAAGGAACAGTTTACTGTGTACATCCTCTGAATCGACTACCTGACTCTCTATTTATACTGATTTTTCCTTTTTCAGATAAAGATTATAACAAGATCAAAGCATTGTCTACTCGCATTCAAATTTGATTGCACTATGTTCTCGAAGAAAAGTCCGAGTAAACATAGTGCAATCGTAGATAACAAACGGTGACTGGAAAAATGTGGAACTAGTACGTACCGGTGCAACATAGCATGCCGTCCGCACTACTAGTGCCGGCCTTTTTTCAGTGCTATACTGGGATTTTTCTATACGAGAGTCGATCATGTTTCTCATAAGAATCTTATAAGAATAACGTACGAGTTTTGCTGACTCTTATCAATTTCTTATGAATTCTTATAAGATTCAGCAGAATTCTTGTCACTTTCGTGGAAGCTTTTATATAAAAATTGTGGAAGATTCTTATAAGATTTCACAAATATTTTTTGTTTAGGGTGTCAGTCATATTCAAAAGTTGTTTACCTTTCTTCTCTGAACTTCTTTAATGAACAAACTGGTCAGTCCATCTAACAAGAAAAGTGCTGAATCACCTAAACTAAAAATTGAGTTTGTATTTTAGTTTTTCATGACTACTATGCGTTCCAAAGTAGAATTATCTCGAATGTTTTTCGAATAACTTTTCACAGAAATGAGACAGAGACCTGCGGTTTTTAGGTTTGAAAACTAGATACTTGACCTCATATTTCTGTAATAAAAGTGAATCTCGGAAAAACTTCTGAAGCGGATTTTTTAGAGTATGGAAAACCAGCTTGGGTTTTCCGAAACTCATATAGGAATATGTTAATTTTTTTTCATGGACTGATAGCCCGGGATGTTCTCTTCAAAATGGGAGCAAAGTGAGACCTTGATTTTCTACGGTTCGGGTGTTGTAGACGAGTCCCGGATCGGCACTCGGTGACTCTTGGTAGTCTTAAAGACGGATGGACTATGGATAATCCACCATACTGAGTCTCGTGGCAATATTTAGTTTTAGAAAAAGTTTTAAAATCTACCAAAAAGCCGTTTTATCAAAATTAGGGTTTTCAGTCTGTTTTCGTCTAATATTAAAAAATTCACTATTCACTCAAAAAACATCAGAACAAGCTCAAAGTCGCAGAATATGATTAATGTTGTCCGCTAAACGTGTTTATAATTTTGAAGAAATCAAAAAGCATATTTTTGTTAATAGGTTTTCCAGAAACCCTTTTGTAAAACCTTAGGGTTTTTTAAATTTTATTTCGAGATCTCCTATAAAGAGGATATAGAATGGCTTAAATACGCTACGTTCTGATGTTTTTTGAGTGAATAGTGAATTTTTTAATATTAGGCGAAAACAGACTGAAAACCCTAATTTTGATAAAACGGCTTTTTGGTAGATTTTAAAACTTTTTCTAAAACTAAATATTGCCACGAGACTCAGTATGGTGGATTATCCATAGTCCATCCGTCTTTAAGACTACCAAGAGTCACCGAGTGCCGATTCTGGGACTCGTCTACAACGCTCGAACCGTTTGACCATAGATGATCCGCTAGTGTTACTACCGTAGACGAATCATCAATTCTTTTCTTATAATGATCAGCAAGTTTTTTCAACTACTGAGTTTGTTCATCACATAGAACAAGTTTAACATGCCAGAAATTGTCATAGCATTCAACGAAGTTAATAAGGAAAATGCTACCCATTGAAAATAATGTTTCTTTTTCATCTTTCATTGCACTTAATTTTTCAATACTAGCAAATGGTTTTTCTGTAACGACTGTTGTATCGATATCCATTTCAAATACTACGGACTCAATGAGCGGTCGATATGCACCTTTCCCATTGTATGTAATTGCCACCTAGCAGTCAGTGGTTGTTGATACAAATGTATTTAGTGAGATAAATCCGCCAATATTCTCTTTTAGCTTTTCTAATTCGCTCGGTGCTATAAACTAGCCTGGATAAACTGTTATAACACGTTCTTCTGATTTTGATATAGTAAATCCTGCATGTAACTGTTTCAACTGTCGATAAATATCCACAATAAAACAGCGAAATTTAAATAAAATATCAATGTCTTCTGTACGAAATGCTTAATTCAGAAGACGATAAACAAAAAAAGTGAGTGTTTATCTATAAAAACTCCACGAATTTGTTTTACGTAATTGTTTGCCCATTTTTCATGTTTCACTTTTTGTTTACAAAATACATAAATAAAAGCCATTTGAGGTAACGGATATATTTTTGGATATATATAAAATTGGATATGAATAAAATTCTCTCCTAAAGAACCGGATACAATTAAGAAAATCTTTTCATGTTTAACTAATAATATATAATTGAGACATTTATTCGGATCGTCAAATGTTTTCAGGTGATTAATAATTGACCTTAAACGAACCCGTCGATCGTCTGCATTCGATTCGTGAATATTTGCATCAAGCCAGGCAACAGTAAAATCTTCGAGATTTTCGTTCTCATTTAAAAGTATTTGACTAGATTGTTTTGTGGATGGTGGTACCGTTGAAATAATGGACGCTGCTGAATAACACTTATCTATGTTCTAATAACTGATGTTTTCTTTTTTATGAACTCAGGCGATTATAAGCATAAGAAAACTACCGTTTTGTGTATCAAATTCTTGAGTTCCATAATATATTTTTCTTGAAAGAATTTCTTGATTCGTGCGTAACCTACCCGTGCGTAACTTTCCGTGCGCAACTTTCCGTGCGTATCTTTCATAGACCCCTCATTAAGATATTTTACTTTGCAAGAACGTTTAGGTGAAACACAGCATCGACTATTGCAGAGTCAAAGTTTGCACAATTAATTTGGTGTGCAGATCATGGGCATTATTCAAAAAACATCGAAGACCACTTTGTTTTGAAACAAATAGCAGTCTTCACTATCGAAAAATGGTTATAAGACGTTCTCTTTGAATACCTTGCTTCCTTTTCTACTTTTTCTCTGTTCAAATATCAAAGTATAAATCATACCAAAATGTAAAAAACGTGTACTGATAAACAAAAACGTCGGACTGTATGGAGAGGCAGTCATGAAATTCATTAATGATTTGAAGTCCGAACATTGTCCGCCTTTTAAAATATGATTTTGACGAATTAGTAGCGCAAAAAAGTCTTGTTTTATTCACAAAATCGTGATACATTTCCATGCTTACTAGATAAGCGAATATATCTAAGATTAACAGGAAACTTGAAAGTTTGAGATGAAGTTTCTGCATGTGCCAGTCTATACAAATATTGGCGAGTTACCTCACGACGTACAATGCATCTATCCATCAGCTATTACAAGCAGTAAATCAGCCAGTCTACAAATCCCACCGATTTTCGAGATTCTCATGAATATAACAAGTGTAAACAATTGAGTAAGATCAGTTTAGCTCATTCAGAAGTCAAGGAGTTTAGGTCATTCAGAAGTCAAGTGACAATTTTTTTAAGAACGTTTGCTGAAGAGCAACTTCTTTTGCATTAGTCAATATAAATAAAACAGAATTTGATGGCACTTAACCTACCTTTCAAAACGATCTTGTAAAATCTTATTCATTGTTTATCAACCACAGTTTTTCTTCTTCTTTCTTCTTAACGATCGACTTTTTACCTTTATTCGATCGACTATGAAAGCTCAGATATGATTCATGAGTGAGTAATTGTCGATGGGAAAATACCAATATAGAACAGTCCTCTAATTCTGTCACAAAAAATTTATTTTTCGTAGTTTTCATATTTTCGTTGAAGTCGTTTTCTAAGATTAAAGAAAAAATTTTATATGGCGGTGTAGCTGAGATTCTGTTGCTCGTTCAGAACAATGTTTATTCATTTTTACCCTTCTTTAGTCATCTCTTCCTCTTTCCACTGTAGAGCTGTTTGTTCCAACTCTAACATAAAAATTTTTACTTTTATTAAGTTTCCTATTTAGGAGCCGTTTTTTCTAAGGTCAAACAAAAATTTTACATAGGTATGTGTAGCTGAAATTTGATCCGATTGATCCTCGTGAAAGTATCTAAGATCTCTTCCATCTTTCGTATAATTATTTCAGAAATCAGAATTAAACATGTGGACTACACAACTCTCATTTCGCACTGGTATGATTTAAGTCGACAGACTGCAGAATCTTTTGGAGAAACTTATAACTCAATTGGACCTTGCTTGTACCTTCGCTATAACAGTGTAGCATACACTTAATACTTTGCTCCTAGACCCGATTTAACTATTCGCAAACATTTGCACACGCAGTCCACATGTTTAATTCTGATTTCACTCGTCCATTTGTATGAACGTGACATAATTAGGACAAAAAGGGTATGATGTGATCGAATTAGGAAACGACAGAAAAGAGAAAGAGTCCAGAGCATATTTTGTTTTTGTTCTAAATAATCATACGAAAGATGGAAAAGATCTTAGATACTTTCACAGGGATCAATCGGATCAAATTTCAGCTACACGCAGCTATGTAAAATTTTTGTTTGACCTTAGAAAAAACGGCTTCTAAATAGGAAACTCAATAAAAGTCAAAATTTTTATGTTAGAGTTGGGACAAACAGCTTCTATATTGGTATTTTTCATCGACAATTACTCACTCATGAATCATGGTTGATTAACAATGGATCATTTTACGAGCTTTCTTTGCTATTTACGATATATTTCATCGAAATGCCAGAGTGACGTTTTGGGATGTTTATATGTTAGTTTTTTAACTATGTTATGTTTAGTTAAAAAGAAAGTACCCACGATAGGACTGCGTGAGCTGTAAGACTGACCTTGCAAAGAAGAATATTTTCAAAACCGAAAACAGCTATTGCATGAGATTATCAATAGAGATCTGCAACCCGATCCGATCCGGTTACATTTTTTTAACTCGTGCAGGTCTCTAGTTGTTGATTATTCACAATTCATGAGGCTCTTCTTCACGTTTCCATTGCTTGTTCAGCAAATTAAGCTTTTATTTTCTAGTTGATACCAACTGATTGATCACCATGGCTTGCAACAGTAAAAAAGGAGGGAAAAAAGACAGTTCTATCCAATGTTTTGGTTGTCAAGAAACATTAGCTGATTCTCATCTAGGAATTCAATGTAGGTTCTTAATTATGATACGGCTAATCTAGTTTCTCCTATATATGTGAATATTTTAGGTGCACAAGGTCATCATATTTGTGTTGATTGTTCATCAAACGTTGTTCAGTTATTTTTGAGTGAACCAAAAATAAACTTACCACCAAAATGTATGATTTGTAAAGTTGATATTAATGAATCAGTATTTGAACGTCAATTAACCAGTGCTCAATTAGAAATTTATCGAACAATCATGTTGTCGCTATTTTGGTCAAAAGAGTGTCTTCAAGAAAACGTAAGATCTTTTCGTCATAGATAGCATGCTGCACTTCTTAATTACATTGTGCATGGTATTATTTTAGGAAGAATTAGTTCATTGTAGTTTTTGTTCATATGTTGAAATACGTGAAAAATCAGAAGGTGCTCAATTTATATTTTGTAAACATAAAGATTGTGGTAAAACATCTTGTCTTATCTGCTTACGTGATTGTCCAACGTTTGAACAAGGCTATGAAGTTAGCGACTATGATAGTTACAGTGATGATATAGAAGAAATGGAGCGACATTTTATTTGTGCAACATTGAAAGCTGAAAAGAAAATGCTTGATACATCGATTGAAAACGGGCAAAAGATGTCATGTCCCGGCTGTGGTCTTTCAGGAATGAAAGATGATGCATGGTAAAGATGAATCTTTTCTGTATAAATCATTTTCTTTACTAATCTATTGATTACTTTCTTTCCAGTACACATATGATTTGGTAATTATAAATGTTCACTTCATATTCAATCTGATGATAATCGTGTTGTTTTTAAATATTTAGTCCTAGCTGCCAAACGTCATGGTGTTACTTTTGTGGTTTAAAAGAAGTCGATTGTGATAAAGCTCAGACGGGAAAAGAAAGTTCAATATATGATCATAATGTCGACTGGGATTCGAATCCAGAACGTTGTCCAATGTATTTGACAGCCATCCAAGATATCGATCCATCATGGCCCGAAGATGAAGATCAATGGTATTTTCGAATATTTCTTTTGTTTTCATCCGCTTTATCTTTTTTGCAGACTCGATTCTTGTTTAGCTTGGAACATTTTCATCGTCTGCGGTCTTTACGTTTATTACGAGATGCATATGAAACATTGGGTGATGCCAAATTTCGTAAGCTAAATAAACAATTTGGTATTATTGAAAATTGTGTAAGTTATACGTTTACTATAGGATCATTTTTCGATCAGAAAGTGTCACTTCTTTTTATACTAAGCTAACTAATAAATAATTCATATTATATTTGACTCTCTTAGGGATTTACCATATATGAAATCAAATATTCAGATTTAACATTAATTAATTATGGTATAATAAGCGATGTTTTAGTTAAAAAAAAATAATCTCATTAGTTATTCATTATTTATCTATTTAGATGACGATGATATGAATGCAGACGATAGTAGCAACGATGAGGAAATGGTCTCGATCGTTAGTGACGATAATATGAATCCAGACGACGGTAGCGGCGATGAGGAGAAACATGAAAGCCCCAATGTTATCTAATCGATGCTCAGCTGAAACAGCAGCTGAGTTAACAAATGAACGCTGTACTTATATAGTTGGTCCATTTGATAAACACCAGCAAGTATAACGATCATTCTTAGAATATTAAAGAACATGCTGTCAAACAATAATCACGAAAAAGTTTTTTTTCATTAACAATTGTCCAATCTGCACGTTTTACGATGATCTTTGATTGTCTTTTAATAACAAACTTGCCATAAACAACTATTTCTTTCTGAAGTTATGTACCATACGGTCGCCGGAGTCGAATTTCTTGTTGTTCAAAACATTGTTCTTTATTTATCTCGCAACAAAAATAAGTATGAGTATAAAAAACTTCGCAGTTATATGTAAGTAAGGGTATGATACAATTTTGATATGAATTGCTCTTGTTTCTCATTTGTAGTGTCTTCAACATATAAGAAAAAATTGCCTCAGAGTGCGTAAATTGTAATATTTAGGTGAGAAAGCTTATCCAATGGAGTAAGTTACGCAATTCTAAGGAGCAAATTCGTTTTTATTACTGAAGTCGAAAACAATACAAAAAATTATCGCGAGAGCCAACAAATACGTAATCATTGAAATAAACAGGCGAGGAAAAAATTTCTCCATTCAGTTTTGTTTCACATAACATACTTCCTGTATGAGTATCTAATATCTGTAAACAACCATCAGTTGATGCAGCAATCGTTAGCCATTGGTCATGTCTTTCAAATCCAAAAAGAGATGCATAAACAGTCGATTCAAATGAATGTTCCCATGCTATGAGTGGTTGATTATGAATAATCTGCACAGCATACACTTTCTTATCATGACAGCCGAATGTAATAAGCACACGATCCAAAGTAATATCATATACAGCACTGGGAGATGAAAAAATTGGACCGCCTATTGACAAATACCATTTCTAAAACACAAATCAACTTTTAAATCGTAAATAACGGCAACTTATCTTATTACTTGTTCGCCAGTTTTCTCATTCAAGCAGTAAATATTCTGATCAACACAACCGAATATAAGAAGTTCATTCCAAACTAATATTGATGAAAAAATTGGTTTCGATACTGCCGATTTCCATTTACAAATACCAGTATTTGCATCCAATGAATAAACTTCCCCTTTCAATGTTGCCACATACAAACAACTATCATCGGCAGACAATGGCGGTGATGAGGCACAACTACTGTCCAAAAAATACTTCCATACACACGTTGAATTACGATTCTAAAACAATTGTAACCATTAAGATAAACATAGAGACATGATAACAAAGTAGAAGCCTAAAGTTTAAGTTAAATTACGAAAAACTGTATAAAATGCAGACAGGAAAATAACAAAAACATCTGGCGAGTCTTTCGTAAATTGAAGGTAGCTTCATGAAAAATAGTTCTGGTCAGTCTTATTTCCTCTAGAAATGTTTGCTCTATATGATCGAGATATTCGCAAAAACTTTCTCATCAAATCAACGGTTCGTTAGAATTTGTATTTTACTAAGCAACGATTGTCAGCAATTTTGATAGAATTTCCATACAGACCACTTCTGCTTGAGAACTCTTTCAACTACTCAAATTGCTTTTTTGAGAATTCTTCTGGCTATCGTGGTCAAGTAAAACAATCAAAAATACAAAACTTTCTTTTGCATAAAAAAAGAAAGTACTCACGAATTGATCCTCTATCATCAACTGGAAGCATAGTTCTAATATGTAATCAGACAAACTTTAGATGTCAATAAGAAAATGATCAAACGCTCGAGCGTATATTTAACTGAAAAATATGCAACTATTTACCTGGATATTTATTGCATGTAAATAATGATCATGTGAGCCAACATAAACCAAATCTAATGAACGATGAGCACAAGGAATTGTTTTTATTAATCCACCACATTGATACGTCCCATACAATTGGCCATAGTGACAATCGATTATGTATAACATCCCACTGTAGTCACCTACAAAAAACACTAATATCTATTAATGCGAAATACTTGTATTGTTTAAATTTCGGTTATAAGACTTCCTGCAGCTAGTAACAAATATCAAAATTCACTTAATTAAAATGAATCACGAACTTACCCACCAAAACGTATTCACCAGTCCGAGAAAGGGTAGCACCAGCTTCTATACGATCATTTGTTTTAAAAGACCAAATTAATGTTCCATTTTCAATTTCATATGCATTTAGAAGATGAGCATGAGAACCAACGATGACAAGTTGTTGTTTATCATTAATAATGACAATGAGTGGTGAGGCATCAATACATTTTTCAAGTGAACTTTTCCATTTCAACTGCAGTTCAGTTGTTTTTGTTGTTGCTTTTGTTATTCTTTTGTGCTTTATATCAATTCCGTGCTCTTTCAAACTCAGACAGTATTCGAACATTTTCTCACCATAATTATGTACAAATATTTTTGAACAACGTTGTATCGAAATTATTTCATCTAATTGATGAATGTTCTCTTTAGAAACATAATCTTTTGGTTCATTCAAAACATTATTTTCCACCTGTTTACCCATTTTTAGATAGTTGACAAGATCATTTTTTGTATTATGTAATAAAATATCGAGCGCTGTCGTTGAATCAATCGTTTTTGATTGTGAACGTAAATTTTCAACAAATGTTAATGCTAAAAGTGAATTTCCACCATCACTAATAAAATTTGCTGTATTATCAGATTCTTTGTGTAGTATTTCCTATAATAACATAAAATAAAAAGTTTATGATGAAAGCAGGCACTTATCTCTTACTTTCCAAATCGTATCAATTATTAGTGGTATATCTAAGCCAAATTCATCTGTTTCAGTAGAATACAGACGAGCCAATTGAGAACGGTCAATTTTTCCTGAAAGAATACACCAACAAGATATATTAGTAAGAATTTTAAAAATTCTCAGTGAACATACCATTTTCATTTAATGGCAAATTTGAATATGAACGTCTAATTTTGTTTGGTATAAAATGAGGAGGTAAATGTGTCTGTAAATACTCGCTCAACTTCGATGGTCCATCGTCTGTGGTAAAAGAACCTAACAATATCAAAGTTCCATCCTCCTTGAAAAATCCACCACACTCTGACACGAGATTTGATTGTAGTGCTGTCTAAAATACAAGCAAATTCATATTAGTTATAGAAAACATACTTATTTATCGAAAACTAAAACTTTTACAGGTCACAAACTCGACAATTCTATCTGTTTACCTTCTCTATATATTCAACGCTAACCATTACTCCCATTCGTTTTTGTGTAAACGTTTTACGTCCAACATAATAAATAGAGCCATTATCATGTTCAACAATATCATTTGTTGCAAAAGAAAATATCTGCTTGTCATTGTGCAATCCAGTTTGTGTCCAACGAGTATCGCTTTCTGTACTACAGAATAAAAGAAAAGAAAATATTTACCAAACGAAATAATCGCATGACGATAACAAACCGAGTAAAAGATCGAACAAGGACAAACAATCATCACTTGGTTTGATGGTAAGTTTTGTGTCATTTAGCGGTTCTCCAATTGGTATTCGTCCAGTCCTAAACAGAAATGAGACGATTGCATATAGTCGTTTAATATTTGTACCTTTTTTATACCGTAGTTACATACCGAAGATTTTCCAGTGTTACAAAATGATACGAAGCCCAACAACTCATTTCCGTAATACCATAGATATTTATTAATTTTTTTCCATTTTCAATCAAACTCATTAAATCTTTGTCAGCATATGGGAACTGTTCGCCGCCAAATATAAGTGTTTGCACAGAATTTAAAAGACAATGGCCTCGTATTTGTCGATAAAAACTGGGAGTCATCTGAAACGAATTAAAACAGTAGTGTATTTGAAAAGAAATGTAGAGCAGAGAAGTGACCTTTCTAGTCAACATTTACCTGTACTACTGTGCATCGACTGTCAGCGAGCACACCCGCAACTAATTTTGGACTCTGACGAATTGTGCTAGAAAACGTTACTAAACATGCACTAGAACTTAAACCAATAAAAATGTCTACGATCGATGGATCAAATGTCAATGGTGTGGCACGGAATATATAATCTTCTCGTTTAACATCAAATATCGATCTGAAAATGAAAAGAAAAAAAAAAGGTATATGTGCATGCATTTACTTTAGCGAAACCTAATACGAGATGGTTTTACTGTACATTCTCTTAATATTGCAAGTTTAAACTTACCTTAGTTGTAATAAATTTGGAAGAATACAGTCGTGTGAGACATAGATAAGCTTTGGAACGCCAGTTGTACCTTAATAAAGAGAAAATAGTTCAGATCTGTTAAATGTCACAGTTAAGTTTCCTTACCCGAAGAAGCTACAATGTACGCAATGTCTGGAAGCAAAATATAATCACTACTGTTGATCTGACAAATTTCTAATTGATTTTTGTAAATAGAAGTAACTGATACATTCGATAAAATATCATTGTAACCTGATGGCTAAAAGAATGAACACAATATAAAGAAACGATGGCGATATTTGATTCCATACTGCAACCCACATATTGATATTTATCAAATATACATGCTCTCGGTTTCAGCTCATTGATAAACTGAACGATCATCTCTTTGGGCCATTTTGTATCACAAATGAAGAATGAGTTATTTGATTGGAGAATACTAGAAGATGCGAAAATGAAAAATCGATAGATATAGTAAAACCGAATAATGTAAAAGATTTACCCGAGCATAACAGGTACAGTGAAAATTGTTTCATTGGAATCAAGAAGAATTATTCCATGTTCGATATGTGCTTCCAGTAATGTATCGCATACCTGGAGAAAAACAACAACACATCAATTGAAAAGTGACTCATGATACAGATAAAAGTCGTAGATCAGTCTATTAGTCTTACTATTTGAGCCACGATAAATAGTTCTCTATAACTGATCGTTAAAGACGAAATAATGTCATTGTAATATTTTATGGCGATATCATCCAGTTCAGTTGTACGAGATAACCAACATTGAGATATCCATTGCGATATTTTTTTGCACATCGCACTGTGACGAAACTTCAAAATAAAATATTTAAGCCGTAAGTCAAATCTCTTTACGATTAAAACACGAAGTTCGATAAAATTATTAGAATTATATAAAGGGTTTATCTTCGTAATATAATTATCTAGACATCTTGATTGTACGAAGCAATTTTATACAGTAGAACACAATGTGAAATTTAAACTAATTGATGAAAAGGTAATAAAATATAATAAACAATAATTCGCAAAATTGTAGTGAGATGTGTATATAACAGATATTGATAATTGTATTAATATATTTTTTTTCTCTATCTTCAATCTCTCCTCTGGAACAAAAAAAGAGCAAATAATTTAAAAAGAAGTACGAGGAAGAAAGAAACTGGCACCCTTTAGTTCAGTTAAGCTCTAGATTATTCGCATTAACGGATTCTCGTTAAGTATGAACCGTTGACATGATTGAACCTATCATAACACAATGACATGATCTCAAGTCGACTCAAACGGAGAATGTGCACATTTGAAACGACTTATTCATGCGGTACGCGTTGTTTCGAACGCGTAGAAAGTGTTTACTTCATTTCAAACATGTACGCAGTGTGATTTTTCAACATAGAGGTCACTGTCGTTGCAACATGGTGTTATGTATGTCGTGTTTATTGATCTATACTATTGATTCTCTCCAATGCAGTCTCATAAACTTACTTTACCTCTTTTGCTCTGTATCTGTTATCTAATTAAAGAATGAAGAACGACCAACAATATGTCTGGATGAATGCTTTTTTTTCCATTCAATCCTAACATATCCGAAAATGAGTGGCTAGGTTAGCTTCCACAGGACGAACGTTCATAATAGCGACTTATTGTCGTTGTAGCTGATCTCCGGCATACTTTGTTGGCATAATTTTCTAAGTCTCAACAAGGGATAGAAATGATCTATACTATGCTAGGTTTGTTTGTTTTTATCCACTTTTCGATATCCTCAAAATACTTCAAAAAAAGACATATTACTCTTTACGTTGTTTGTCAGCTTTTTTTCATATCACGAGGAATATTTTATGTTTTTTCTTGAGTTCTATGTGTATCAGCGCAAATTGTCTTTTTCGGGTCTGGTATAGAGACTTTTTCACTAATGATACTAACTTTCTGTTTCTTGTAGACGATTATTGCTATGAAGAATTTCCATTTCATGAATTTCTTCAGATGTCAAATCAAACTTACAGTACGTCTCTTGTTCTTAAGTATTAGAAGTTAAGTGTTAGAAAATAACTTCGAAATGTTTCCTTTTTGGAACACAGCTGTTCAAGGATGAGCCTGTGATCACATATAATTGTATGTTTAATGGTTATGGTTGCCATATAATAAAAATATTCGAATATTTCTTGTCCAGTATCAGTAAAATTCGATCAATTAAAGTATTTAAGAGCCATTAAAGATAAGCCACGACCTAACGTGCTCAATCGACCATCTCAAATTTCTTCCAACGTAATGGGCTTCTTTAGAGCAAACATTTTCATGAGTTTTGCCGAAAACCGAAGGTCCTAACATTGTTGCGTTGCTGAGATATTCACTTTTTACAAAGAGCTCGAAAACGCACAAATTCCGCCGCCTAAGGAAACTGTCAATGTAAACTATGTACAACTCCGTAACGACACATTACTTAGACTTAAAAATTCTATCATAACTACTAGATAGTGTCTACCATAAATTCACACACCCGTGAGTTCCAGACATACTTCCGTTTTTTTACAGTAGGTGATCCCGTGAGAGCCCAAATCGTTGGTCCGGCCATTTTGAAGAAAGATTTTCCCTCGGAAAACCGGGAGAATTTCTCGCCCCTTACGATATTGTTGGAGTACATCAAGCGTATTATCATGAGCCATGGTGGAATTTTTGGGATCTTTTAAAATTCCCTGGAAAACCAGGTGAGGTTTCTAGAAAACCAAACTATGAAATTTTTCAATCGATTTTGGGATTTTCACATCAGCCGTTTTACAGAGCATATCAAATTACACATGTCAAGCTATTTTTATAACTATTCGACTAGTTTTGATGGAATCAGAAACTTTTTAGTTCAAGTATTGCTTAAAATATGTATGCTTTTTTTTAATGTCTAATTGGAACCGAAACCGTTTTTTAATTGGTTTCGGTTCCAAATAGACACTTTACTCTATTGTTAGATAAACAGTACTAATATTATCGCATACAGTGTGACGTAACAACTATTTCTACAGAGATGGAAGAAATTGAAAGTCGTCACTCTCTAATGAAATCAACGATAGCCTTATAAATACTTTTACTTTTTTCAAATTCAATAAGAAGAATTGCGGAATTCTAGAAGTCTAGAATTGCAGAATATAAGAATTTTCTTTTAGAGGTGGTCACCCTCACCCCTTTCAAAAATTTCAAAATTGTAGAATCCTGCAATTCTAAAATGCTAGAGATCTGCAGCACTTAAAGCTCTAGAACCCTGGAAGTTCGCAGTTCTTAAATTGTTAAAATCTAAAATTCTATTACGGTAACCCTCACCCTCTCTTTTTAGTTCCCGGGCTGACCACCCTCACTTCATCCGGAACACAAAACTCAATTATTAATAGATAGCTGAAAAGGTCTTTTTTATGTCAGGAATATTCTATTTTCTTCCATTAATGAGAAATTGAAGTCATTAGAATCATCTCACGACTGTGATAAAAAGATATATAACAAATCAGAGATATCAAACTATTCTAATTGCTTCAGCTTTGAATACTCTATTGAATGGTATATAACCTAAAAACTTCGATAAAAACATTGACAAGTTGTAGTTAAAAATATTAAGGTACACATTTTCCGGAAGTTTATTCGAAATGAGAAATTTTATAATTTTACAAGAAAAGCTGCAAAAGTACTTAACTTTCCAAAAATAAAAAATACAGACAAGTTCCTCCACCTGGACAGACATTGATGAGAAAAGATTGCAGGATGCCGCAGCATAGACATGGGGGACAAAATCCACAAGCTATTACTTTTTATCATCACGAGAAAATCCTACAGACCTTGCAGGGTTTGCGTAGCGAGATATCTTGTGTATTACAAGTGATAACAGGTAGGAAAAATTCCACAGAGTATGCAAAATGAAGAATCTGCGAGATATATCTGAGGAACGCATGTGAAAGCTCATGCATCGTGTGCCTAGAGAAGAATTCTCCAGGATCCTGCAGGAAAGAAACTTGAAAAGTGAGCGTGTTAAGGGCCCCCCCCCTCAGAAATGGTGATTTTCGGTCAAAAAATCGGTTTTGAGATACACACATGGAAAGATAGCCTGAAGTGTCTACTTCCAGAATCTGTATTGCTTTTGGTTACAAAACTGATT